CCAGTCCCTGCCCTGGGGCTGGGTGGGAGCCGGCGCCCCCTAGAGGGAAAAGACCCCATGCCCCATCCCCAGGACTGCCCCTGGGGATCTCAGTCATAAGGGGGTGCTTTGTCTCTGCAGCCCCCCAATCTCTGTTGGGGGGGTGGGTTTGTGCAGCCCCGGCACAAGCAGTGGGTGTCCCCCCCCCGCCCCACTACCTGCTCCTCCTCCGTTAGTGGGACCAGGGCCAGCGGCTGCAGTGGCTCTTCCTGGAGAATGGCAGCGAATTCCTTATCCTGGAGCTCCTCCGGGACCTGGGCGGGTGTGGAGACAGCAGCTGGGGGGTGCGGCTGGGAGCGAACTTCCCCTGCCCCCCCTCCCCAACGGCAGGGTCACCCCCCCACCCTCCCAAGACACAAGGCTTTCACTTGGGGCACGCACACCCCTGCGAACCTCGAAGGGGGACCCCAGGGTCACACCAGGTGCCCTCATCCCGACCCATTCCAGGTCACCCCATTGGGCAGCCATAACCCCGCCCCCTGGTCACCTGACATCCCATGGGCCCTGGTGTATTTTACTCCGGAGGGAATTTCGCACCCCTGCGCACGCGCAGAATTTATGTCCCCTGCAGATTTCTTTAATTCCCTGCAGAAAAATGACTTTGACGGGGAAGCAAAGGGATGCCACAAGAGTGGTCATGTGACACACACACACCCCCCCAGCAGTACGTTTCGGGTGCCCAGGGCAGGTGGCAGAGAGGCAAATCACTGTGGGGCAGGGGGCGGGACTGGGGACCCGGCTGGTGGCGCCATCTCAGCTGCTAGTCCTGGCTGGGCTGGTGAGGACGGGACTTCCTCTTTCCCTGCACGGCATCCGGGGCCGGGTCAGACCCACCTCAGATTTCTCCCCCGGCTGCAGGAAGCTCTGCAAACTCCCCACCCCCCCACTTCCCGCACCCATCGCTCCTCAACTGCAGGGGGAGGGATCCCTGTACAGGGAGCTGCTCCCCCGTCTGCCCAACCCCCGTGCATCCAGACCCCCTCATAGCCAGACCCTCACGGTGAGCCTCATCACCCCCCTACACTCAGAACCCCCGCCCGGATGAGCCCCACTCCCTCTGCATCTGGACCCCCCACACACACTCAGCCCCAACCACCTTCACCTGAACCCCCCCTGCAGAGCCCCATTACCACTGCACCCAGAACCCCCAACAAGCCCCTGTGCATCCAGATCCCCCACTGAGCCACCCGCACCCAGACTGCCCCACACAGAACCCTCTCAACCCCTTGCTGAGCCTGCCTGCCCACACCTGACACAGAGGGGCAGGGCCCCGGGGTGTTTCTGGGGCCGGGCCGGTCCTTGTGCTGTGGCAGGGTCGGGTGCAGCCTCACCGCCGAGTCCGTGTCCCGGAGGCGTGGGAGCTGCAGGGGGATCTCCCACCTCTGTGCAGCCAGTGGCCTGTGTTCACCACTGCCAGGTTGGAGCCTCCACATTTATTTGCCAAATAAAATTTGCAGACTTTTAAAATATTGTGCGCAGAATTTTGATTTCTGGGGGCGCAGAATTTTTAATTTTTTGGGCGCAGAATGCCCTCAGGAGCAATACTCTGCAGCACCCCACTGGGCAGCCTTGGTCCGCCCCGTTGCCCGGCGTGCGGGAAGACTCGGGGCATGGACACACACGCACCTTGTTCTCTTTGACATAAAGTGCTAGCATCTCTTCTCTGCCGTAGCGATAGTCCGCGAGCTTGTACTTTGGCATGGCAGGAGAGGGCGGGGGGGAGGCCACGCTGCCCCCACTGGACAGCGCGCGGAGCCTGGTGGGGGCAGGACAGACTGAGAGTCAGCGACGGGGCCAGGCTCCGCGGACACACGGCCACATACACAGAGCGAGGCCGCAAGGAGCCTTCAAGGGGGGCTTCAGGGTTAAGTTAGAATGAGCTCGAGTAGGGGGTGCGGGAAGCCAGGATTCCTGGGTTCTCTCCCCGGCTCTGGGAGGGGGGTGGGGGCTGGTGGGTTAGAGCAGGGGGGGCTGGGAGCCAGGATTCCTGGGTTCTCTCCCTGGCTCTGGGAGGGCAGCAGGGACTGGTGGGTTAGAGCAGGGGAGGCTGGGAGCCAGGACTCCTGGGTTCTCTCCCAGTTTGGGGAGAGGGGTCTAGTAGCTTCATTATCACCTTCTTTGCCCCGAAGTTAAGGGCCAACCAGTGTTTGTGGATCTCTCTAGGGATCCCCAGCTCCCCGCCCCCCCAGGTCCCCCATTCTCTGGGCCCCGCCCCCCACCTCCCCACGCTCACCATTCCGGTCCAAAATTGAGCGTCTCGGCGGCCATCGCCCTCTGCGTGTGCGTTGGGTTTAGCTTCTGTTGTCCTATGACCTGGACGGCGAGGAAGGAAACCGGGCGATGAAAGGTGGGGTGTTCCCATCCCGTCGCTCTGGGCTCCCTGCCCCCCTGCCCCGACCTCTCACAGCCCCCCACCCCCCTTCCTTACCTGCTGGCTACAGCCCCACGCCCCTCACCGTGGGAGGCTCGGCCCACGGCGCCGAACCTGCAGCCAGGAGACAGAACCCGAGGGGCGCAGGGTTAGGATCAAGGACTATCCCCCCGCCCCCACTGTCTCTCCCTCCCCAGGCCTTCCCAGTGCAGATCAACTGTGGGTGGGGGCTCAGAAGGGGTGAGCCCCCCCCCGCAGGAGGGGGAGTGCTGGAGGGGAAAAGGTAGGGGGGGCTGTCAGCCACTCCCCATTGGCCCCCCAAAACACTGCTCCATTTCAGACATCTACCATTACCTAAGGGATAAATAATTCTAGCCCATCCCCTCACTCCCCAACATTACCCCCCAAATCCTCCATATGCCTCCCCCGGGAACCAGCTCCACAGTCTAGGCGATTGGGAGGGGCGGGGGGGCTGAGAGCCCGGATGCCTGGGTTCTCTCCCCTGCTCTGGGAGGGGAGTGGGGCTGGTGGGTTGGGGGGGGGGGCTGGGAGCCAGGACTCCTGGGTTCTGTCCCCGGCTGTGGGAGGGGAGTGGGGGCCGGTGGCTCAGAGCACGGGCGGCTGGGAGCCAGGACTCCTGGGTTCTCTCCCCAGCCATCAATGTGTACTCTCCCCCCATACCCCAAGCATTTCTCACCCAGACGGCAGTGGCTTGTGGGTCCGAGCGCGCTGGGGGCTGGGGGATTTCCGAGGGTGGGGGATCTGCGGGCGCCCGTCTGTCCGGGTTGCTAGCTGAGCACGGGTGCTGATGAGGCTGCTGGGCCTTTCTCCCCCCACAACAGAGTCGGAAGCCGGATTCACATTGGGAAGAGCTGCTGGGGGGAAGAGAGGGGGAGCATTAGTCCACACGGTGACGGATTGGGGGAGAACTGGCTTCAGACCCCTGTACCCTGCAGAGCGTGGCCCCCAGCACGTGGGATGGAGGCGATTTTCCAGTCAGCAGTATAGGGTATAGGACACACAGGGGAGCAATTCCCATCACAGCCACTGGAGGGCACAGGAACATAGAGCTTCCATAGTGCTGTCCTTTATGCAGGAAGTAAGGCAACGGGACTTTCCCCATCATCCCCAATGGCTGGAGAGAGAACCCAGGAGTCCTGGTTCCTAGGACCCCTTGCTCTAACCCACCGGACCCCAAACCAGAACTGGGACTGGAAGCCAGGATTCCTGACTCCCTGCCACATGCTGAGGCGGGTGCTGAGAGTTCCACAGGCTCTTTGGGACCAGAATGCCACGTCCGCCTCCCCCGGTGCGGTCAGAGACTCAGCTGGGCCCAGCCAGTCCAGCCTTGGGGGGGGGGGGGGGGGGGAAGGTTGCATAACACCCATGTCAAGATTGTGAGAAACCACAAAGGGCAAAGCAGCCAATCCTCTGGCAGGGCCACCGCCGAGAGCTAACGGACAAATGCCAAACCGTGGGGCACTTAGGCAGAGCCGGGAAGAGAACCCAGGAGTCCCGGCTCCCAGCCCCGCCCTGCTCTAACCACTACACTTCGCTCCACAACTCACAAACATCAGGTTCCTACCCCTTAGGCCAAGGCCTTTCGGAGGCAAAGCCCCCGGAGCGAGAACCCGACAGGAAACTGCTGCATCATTTCGAACCAGGGCGCCCCTCCCAACCACAGGCCTGGGGGGGCGATTTACCAGCCGGGGGGGTTGTAACCCAGCCAGGCGTTTGTGATACTTCGCCGAGGGGCCCCACCCCAGCCGAGAGCAAGGGATCTGCATTATTCCAGGCACCACGCAGACCCGCCACACCAAAACAGAG